TGTACTACAGAAAATGATCCTGTGAAGTACAATCTTAAAGTTTTTTCCAAATTTGTTTGACTTTTATACCCATTTAACAGTCAAATAATGCATAGTAAAGATTTACTTCATCATTCTTTTAAGTATGACTCATTAACAAAGAAACGAAAAAAAAGATTTTTTTCTTTCTTTTATGTGAATGATTTATTATTAGTAAGATAAAGAAAATTAAGTTATAGTTGTTAAATTATAATAAAATCGTGGAAATGCAGCTTTACATAATCCAACAACTTTTTCTTCTTCACAAATACCTTTGAAAAAAAGAGAATAAAACATTATAACAATAGTTTAATTTTTTACTTGTATTTCTTGTCGATTTAGATAAACCACAACGATCTACAAATATTCCATTAGATATTTTATCAGCAAAACACCGTTTATTCGATCCACAAAGAATAGCCTAATAAAATATGAAATCATATTACGTTACTAAGAAAAAAGGAAGATAACTATTGTAAAGAGCATTTGTTAAAATTATATTCTCAGACAAAAGTAATAACATTCGAGTCCTCACCGGACTCCTCATTAGGAATGACAATGTGAAAGATTAAATAAAAATATTGATATTATACTATTATTGAATCGGAAAAAAAACTGAAAAAGTTGAGTGGATATCACATTAACATTAATGAAGTTTTCTTCCAAAATATAATCTTTATATGGAATCAAATAATAATTCATTATCTTGTGTTGATACTAAGAATATAGCAATCCATAAACCTATATGAACAATAACTGATGCTTCAATTAAATCATCAATAATATCGAATAATCAGTTATTTGTTTTATCAACACCACATCATGTTAATATATTCATTAATCCTACAAATACTATTTTCTATTATAATGAAGTTAATTCAAATAGAATGTAATCAATAAGAGATTATATCATATAATTCATAGGTGAATAAAAATCTCGAACAATTATGGATTTATTTTATGACTTATCTTGATGAGGAACCTAAACTGTATATCGATATTTATGATTATCATACTAAAGTAAATATCAATCCTGTTTTTATTTCAAATACAAAAATAATTTCGATATATATGGATTATATACAACAACAGAAACAAATAATATAAGATATACCAATATCCATCACAGTCTACACAAAATACTAAATATCAATCGTGATACGTTATCTTACCAAATAGTTTCCGATCAAAGAACTAATTTAATCTAGATCAATTAACTTTTCCCCATTTTACCAAAAAAAACCAACGACTGATCATCAAATTCTACTTTCATATATAAAGTATATCTAAAAGCATAGCATAATTCACTAGAAATATTCTCTACCATCCCATCAAAAAGCAATCGTATAACACAATCATATGATACATACATTGCGTTTTGTTTGTAGTTATTGAATGTATAATTCCATCAATAATATCATTACGATGGATTTTAAATATTCGAAATTCAGTTTATGAACATTCTGTTCTTGGCTTGTTGATATTATATTAAGCATTGTACTTCGTAATCGATCAGTAGCTATTGGTGATAATTGTACAAAATTTTTAGAACATTATCATCCATTATTAGTATTTTTTTGATTTACTTAATTCAATGTCAAATATAGCTTTGCTACAAAACGATTTCGTCGTGAATTAGAACGTATGCTCAAAGGATGGATAAAGTCATCAATAAGAAGGAAAAAAATTTCATGATGAACACAGTAATAGTCCAACAGAAACTTTATTATAGCTATTCAAAAGTTCTAAACGTCTTAGTAAAAAATATGATTATATTAAAATAAAAATTGTTTCAACTCCGGATATAATCTAATGAATCAATCATTGACTAATTAATGCTAATAAACAATATTGTATGAAAGATAATCATAAAATAGCTATTTCAATACATTTACAATTATTAGCTCTGTCGTAGAAGAAATTCATTGTATGACCTATTACAAAGGATAGATAAATAAATTTCTAAAGTAATCATGACTTTTGGAAAATTCTACAATATGTTAATTTGGGAATACTTAATACTCTTAAAGTAAAATCAAAATTTTTGTTTACAAGTATTGTTCTAACACTTTAGTTTAGAGAAAGCTACATGAGATTTCGAATATTTGTATTCATACGATCACATGAAAAAGAAACAGATGTTATTAAAAATTTGCCTTATGTTAGAGAGATGTAAAATTGTTTTATTCCTAACCGATATGATTTTACATCATTCGAAAATAGATATTTCAATGATTAGAACGTGATAATATAAACACATGCATGATGAAATTATGTACGATTTAATTTAGAAAATCGGTTAGATATATTTGAAAATAAATAGGTGAAGTTGAATGAGTTCCTTTCACTTTGAATATTTTTCACATAAAAAATAGTTTCATCAAAAGTCAATGTGCAATGGGTGTAGCTGATGCAATTCATAAGGATGAGTGTGGGTAAAGAAAAGATAAGTTCGCATCCACACCCTTAACAGCTGATTCAATTAATCTTACCAGCGATTCACTCAGGAACATGTCCGTGAATGAATCGTTGGTAGAATTACTTGAATCGGCAGTTAATTTCACCTATGTGATAAACTGTTGAATATTTTTCCTCATTTCTGGATAATACCATACTTTCTCTCTTTTCTTCCTCTTCTTCTTTTTTTTCTTCTTTTTATGTATCTCTTTAGTATTCACACATACTTGAGCTAATATTTATCGTAATCATATCGATATCAAATTTTACAATGCTCTCCATTAACTATGTTTCCTTGTATCGTGATGCAAACACTTACGGGTATTACATTTAGTAGTACAATTAAGTCATTCATGAATACAGCTTATCTAACTATTCAGTTTAAATGAAGTGATGACAATGTAGAGTTGCAGTATAGATCCAAAATGACGCATTCGTCGTGAATAGTAAAACGTTAAACCTTTTGTTAATCTGATATATATTGTAATGATTTCGTGCAATTTTATAATTATAAATCTGTAAATATACTTATAAAGAATACATAAGTGTCCAAACATCGATATAAGGAAAGTGATTAGTATTCATTTTCTTTTTTTTGTCTTGTTTGTACGTCAAAATCAGTCATTCCTGTTGATACAGACTAATACAGAGGAAAAAACGGGAGATTTTTATTCTAAAGATATTATTAATCGTACATGTATAATGAAATAAAATAGTTTTCAATATATTTATGATTGAATTCTTTTCTAAGATTTTATGAAATGTCAACTAACTCTTGAACTGTATCAAAGTTCCCATATTCGTGGACCCGCAGATAAAGGACAAACATCGACGTCAATATCTGAAAATAGCTCCAGATTTACCTTCATTATTATTTTTCCTGTTTTCTTTGAAACAACATGATAATATTTATTGCGTATTTTTTTTAAAAAGTTGAATGGGAACTTTAATATAGAAAAGATCAATACACTATAATCCATCTCACAAAATTGAATTGTTTTTATACAAAATTTTTGTCTATAAATTAAAAATAAAAGTTTTTGAATACTTCTTTTGTACACGTTTAGATCGAATTCTCAACGTAGATGCGTAATAGATTTATTTAATTTTGCTGACGTATTTTTCAGTCAATAAAAAATACAATGACGTTTTTCCTGAGCTATTTTCAGAAGTTCTCAAATTAAAAGTCAGATATTGACTAGGACTTGCGTCAGAGAAAGGCATTATTTAATGGTAATTTGACGTCATTAGCTGTTCTAATAATTCCACCATTCGAATAGGAACAAATAAGTTTGTTCATATTTTATCATGAATTTTTTATAAAAGAGCAACAGGAATGGGATGTATAAATAATCGATATTGAATTCATTATTTTTTGTTATTGTATAACACATAAAGATGTTTCCTATGAAATATCTATTCTATTTTATTCTTTTACATTTGATTATTGGTCATCCTCAAATCAATCTTCATCATACAGGTTGGGTACGTGAAAATGAAGATAATGATGTATTACAACATGATTGTTTAAGTCTTGATATTTTAAATGAAGAAGAAAATGCTAGTCGTGAAATAATATCCTATTGTATGAGTGAATTACCATCGAAATTTCAAGTCGAAGAAAATGATTTATTTCCAAAATTTACATTTGGCGAACTTTCAAATCAAAATATAACAAGTCAACAATTATATCTTTGGTCAGCACCAATGGATACTATTGAAGATTATCAATCGTATTTAAATGAATTATTAATATTTAGTAAATCATCTTTATCAAAAGAAGTTTTTTATAATTGTACATTACCAAGATTTGGTTCGATGTGTCAATATGAAATTGATTATAATCATTCAAAGCATTCATCTTTAAATGATATCATTACTGATTTTTATCGTACTCATGAATATAAACCAATTAATTATACTTGTTATACTCATTTACAGTGCAATCGTGGTCATTCACCAACATGTTTAGATTGGACTGAGATTTGTAACGAAGAAATTGATTGTCTTGATGGTGGACTTGATGAAGAATATTGTTGGCAACTTGAAATAAATGAATGTAATCATAATGAATATCGTTGTGCCAATGGACAATGCGTATTAAAACTGTTTTTGCACGATGATGAAAATTTTCCTGATTGTCTGGATGGCTCGGATGAACCTTCTTATATTGCGTATAAGAAACGCGGTGAATGTTTTCAAAATAAACCATCATTTGAATGTGAAGATATAACATGTAAAGATCCACTATGTCAAAATGCAAAATGCATCGGTTCTTGTTGGCCAGGACGTCAAAAAACAATATTTAACAATATATATTCTATGAAAGATAATTCTACATCTGATCAATGTTGGTCTGCATTCGTATGTAATGGTATTAATTTACAGCAGTCATCTCTACCCAACTGTGTTACTTCTTGCGCAAACAATAACTGTTATCAAGTAATTGAAAATGAATGTCCAGATAAGTTCTATATGCCAACTATTCCAGTTTTATTTGGTGATATTTATTTTGCTTATGAAAAGTGTAAACCATGCAACGATCATAATAAAGGATTTAAGTATCCTTATATATGCTATAATAATTCTCGTTATGATAGTTATTTTAATGAAACTTCAAGACACGTACATAATCATACAACATTCTCACTCAATAATCGAGTGTGTCATCGTCGACTATCTGATTTTCTCTTACCTACCATAGGTGGTATACCCGATATGGTAACCGAATTATCTCTTTTGTATGTGTTACATCCGGAACTTTGGCAATATCAAGAAATTTATAATTATAATTCTACGATTTGTAATAGATCAAATATGTATCAATGTTCCAATTCATTAAAATGTATTTCTATATATCGTCGTATGAATGGTATAAATGATTGTCCGAATAGTGATGACGAAAATATAGCTTCAACTAATCATACTATTTCTATAGAAGAAGAATCATACATAAAATTACAAAATTCCAGCGAACATATTTCATTTCAAACAATTTGTGATGGATTTACTACATTATTACCTATTCCAATAGATGGACAAGATGAAACAGATGAGACCGAATGCAAACATTGGTCATGTAATAATGTTTATACTCATTGTAACGGTTTATGGAATTGTCTTAATGGTGAAGATGAAATTGATTGTGGTTTATCATCATCATTAAATTGTTCTTCAGATGAACATCAATGTGTTTCTCCTCGTACAAATCAATTTATGTGCTTACCAATTATTCAAGCAAATGATGGTATAGTTAATTGCCTTGGAGCTACCGATGAACCAGCATTATGTCGCAAAAAATATGAAATACAGTATAAAAATAACTTTTATTGTATGAATCAAAGTCAAGAATCATGTGTTCCTTCTAAAAAATTATGTGATACACAAAATGATTGTGGCAATGGAAATGATGAACAATTTTGCACACAAGTAACAGGAGGACCAATCCTTTCTACTTGTTGGGCGCTTGATCATCCAAGTATTTCTGATGTCGTGAAGTTTTTATGCTTACAGACAGGTGAAATTTCAAAAGAATCGATTATACACTTTACTCTTAATGCAATGAAGAAATTACTGAAAGATCAAACAAAACAATATATAGAAAATGAAGTACGTTTAAGTCTACCTATAACTGTATCATCTTTTCAACAACAACTACTTCATTGTCATCGTGGTATTGATGTACGCATGTGGTTAAATGATAAAACTAATCGAACAAGAAAAATATGTTTTTGCCCACCAAGTTATTATGGTGATCAATGTCAATATCAAAATCAACGAATAAGTTTATCAATTAAATTTACAGCATCTGCTAATTCATGGCAAATGCTATTTGCAATTGTTATTTTATTAATTGATGATAATAATGAACAAGTAATTCATTCTTCTGAACAATTTACTTATTTATCAAAACGAGATTGTCACATAAAAAAACATCATATTAATTTAATTTATTCAAATCGACCAAAAAATCAAACAAAAAATTATGGCTTACATATTGATATTTATGAAAAAGAATCATTAAATTATCGTGGAACTTTTTATTTTTCAATTCAATTTTCATTTTTACCTGTTCATCGTTTATCATTAGTCGTTGGTATTCCAGATGATAATAATATTAATTTTGAAAGTTGCTCAGATTTTCCATGTATCAACGGTAAATGTATTAAATATCGAAATAATGAACAAAAAATATTTTGTCAATGTAATAAAGGATGGTCTGGTCGCTATTGTACAATTGAACATTCTTCAATGTGTTCATTTGGTTCAGTATATATCGGTGTTTCTCCTAATAATCAATCAATATGTATTTGTCCTATGAATAAATTTGGTGCTCGATGTCTTCTTAACAATATAAATTGTCAAAATAATCAAAATTTAACATGTAAAAATGGTGGTCTTTGTATTCCTACAGATGAATATATGATATCAAAGAAACAATTTATATGCATTTGTCGAAAAGGTTATTTTGGAGAACGATGTGAATTAGAAGATAATAAAATAATTTTATCATTTGAGAAATCTATTAATGTAGCACAATCAATATTTATTCATTTTATTGAAGTTATGGATAATGATAAACCATTCAGATCGACTACATTTCAAACAATTCCTATTAAACAAGAGTTTGTTACGATTTATTGGTCAAAGCCATTTCATATTGTTTTTATTGAACTTCTTGATAAAAGTTATTATTTAACTTTGGTTCAAAATATTTATAATCAATCAACAACAATTAATCAAATGATAAAATCATCAGATCATTGTAAACATACAAGTGAAATATTTAATGATAGTATTGCTAAATTAGATCTTATTCGTCGAATAAAATATTATCATTTACCATGCCAAATGTCTTCATTAAATCTTTCTTGTTTTTATGATGATATTCATCTTTGTTTATGTTATGATTATTATAAACTACGTCTTGCTAATTGTTTTCAATTTAATCACAGTATGATATATGATTGTGCAGGTCGAAGTGTTTGTCAAAATGGAGGTGATTGCTTTCAAGATGCACTTGATTGTCCAACAAGATCAATATGTGTTTGTCGCTTATGTTTCTTTGGGACACAATGTCAATTTAGTACAAGTGGATTTGGTTTATCACTTGATGCTATTTTAGGTTATCATATTATACCAAATGCTAATATTAAATATCAACCAGTTATTGTAATATTAAGTTTAATATTGAGTATTCTATTTATTATTGCTGGTTTTATTAATGGTATTCTTGCTATGATAACATTTAAAAATAAAACTGTACGTGATATTGGTTGTGGTCTATATTTATTAGGTTCCTCAATAACAACTTTACTTATCATGATTTTATTTGGATTAAAATGTTGGATACTGATTTTTTCACAAATGGCAATGATATCAAATCGAACATTCTTAAATATTCAATGTATTACTCTTGATTTTCTTCTACAATCATGTCTTCATATGGATCAATGGTTAAATTCTTGTGTAGCTGGTGAACGAGCATATACAATAATAAAAGGTACTCGTTTTCAAAAGAAAAAAAGTAAAAAAGCAGCTAAAATAATAATTATTATTCTTATTATTCTTATCATAAGTACATCGATTTATGATCCGTTTTATCGACATTTAATGGATGAAGAAAATGATAATGAAATAAGAATCTGGTGTATTATTACTTATTCATCTAGTTTAAAAACATTTCATTCTGCAATACACAGTTTTCATTTTATTGCTCCATTCGTAATAAATTTAGTATCATCTATTGTTTTAATAACAAGAAAATCTCGTCAACAATCAAATTTACATACTGATCGAACTTACTATCAACTTTTACGACAACAATTAGGTGAACATAAAAATTTATTAATTGCTCCAGTTATATTAGTCATTCTTGCATTACCACGTTTAATAATATCTTATGTATCGAAATGTATGAAATCATCAAATAATTCATGGATATATCTTATTGGATATTTTATTTCATTTATTCCACCGATGCTTACTTTTATTATATATGTATTACCATCGAAATTTTATAAACAAGAATTTAATAAGAGTATTGAACGATATCGAACTAACCTACGAAGACGTTTACAGAATACTTCAACAAGATAAATCAAATGACTTTTATTGAATAAATTATAAAACAAATTCCATATGATTATGGCATAAATTTAAACAGTACATTATTGTCTGTCTCGTTTTCATTCTATATATATATATATATTCTATTCTCTTATTTTCTTAAATAAAAACCTATTTCATGTTGTATTTTAATGCCAATCTTTTATTTTTGATGATTAAAGAACAAGTAGCGATGTGGGTATAATTACTCTTGCCATTGAGATCTACGCCGTCACCTTCAAGGTCATCCATCTTGTGTTACAATAGTTGTATGCTGATATATAAAAGAATAAATAGTACACGATTTCATAAAAAAATTCATTTCACAAATTAGTCGCTCTAATGACAATACAAACTTTCATTGTAATATCGCATAGAAAAGTTTTGCTCTTGCTCAAATGACATCATTTGACAGACAATACGATAAGACTTATAATACACGATAATACGTTTATATTTGATTATTTTTACCATTATTAAAATGTGATACTTTTTTTCGATACAAAAATAGTATTCTATGTTTAAATTATAAAACTTGAATTAGTAAATTCGATAAATGATATGCCAGATTATCATTTGAGAGAAAGTTTCTTAATATTTTTAGGTCTAACAATTCCGTAATTTTTAAAAACTATTTACAATACAACTCTTTTGAATACGTTTGTATGGAATACTTTTCTTTTTCGAACAGAAAACACCAAAACTCCTAGAATATTTTTAAATCAATAGCTATATATTCGTACACTGGTACAGTCCTTTTGTTCTAAAAAATGATGTACGACGAAGAGAAGCAACTTTTACTAAAGGAATCATGTTTCTATTTCTATTTCATTTCAATGATAAAGTATTGGTGGTATATTCAACTACTGAAGTAATTGCATAGATAAGGGCAAAAAAGTTGAGAAGAATAACTATAAAACGAAATCATTTCGTTCTATCGCAAACACTGTTAAGAAATTTATTTGTACTGATCTATTTCTTGCTCTCTACAACAGTATTTTAAAAAGGAACTAGTCGAAACAAGCAGAAAAAGATTGAAAAAATACGCCATTTCTATTACAAATAGGAGTGGTGAGTCTTTTTACCATTTACTAAAAACAACAATTATTGCTAAGCTTATATTCAACATCAAATTAAAAAAAGGACCAAATGAGTGGATCAGAATCCAATTCAAAACCTTCTTTATCATTAAACACGACTATATCACCATCGGATGCTATTCAACCAAGGCGGCGCATGGTTCGAAATTATTTACTTCTCTGTTTAGATGAGTGTATGGATGAAGTGAGCCAAGAATATCAACATATTTTGGCACAATTAAAAACCAATACTGATAATACCAAGGTCTTTAAGCAGCGAGACGAATGTGTCGATTTTCTTACAGATGCTGAAGAAAACATCAAGTCTTTCCTGATTGTCGAGAATGCTATGGTTCAACAAATAATGCCTCTGATTAATGATATTCCTCAATTGCATAGTGTTTATATCTTCAGTAACATTAAATCCCAACATGAAGAATGGACAACAAAATGGCAAAAAGTCAGGAACATTCATACCAACATCGATGACTTATGCCAAGCATTAAAAATCGGTGTCAGGCAGTTCAACCAAGATTCGATAGCCATGAGTTTTATCACGGTAGATGAAATGGCTTCAACTGACAATTTAAATCAGTTGGAGCCAACATTTATGTACACCCAGCTATTCAAAGAAATACTTCTTGATATGAAACATGATGAACAGGAGATCAAACAGTTTATTAGTTATTGTCGACATAATGACTGCGGATCGTCAAAGAATATTGATGAATTTGAAAAAAAATACCGAGCTCAATCAGCTATTTGGTGGTACACTTGCCCATCATTTATCTATTCTATGCTGAATCGTGCTCTACGTTCTATGCAAGGTGATATCATTATTAATATGGGTTTTTTTATTCATGACCTTCACCAACAAATTCAACAACTACATCAACAACAACTTAGTAGTTATCAGGATAAGCCATTCATAGTTTACCGGGGACAAGGTCTCACGAAATCGGATTTTGAAAAACTTCAGAAAACAAAGGGTGGACTAATGTCATTTAACAATTTCTTGTCCACCAGTAAAAATGAAGAAGTGACCCTCGGTTTTGCTCAAGTTGCTTTAACAGAACCAAACAAGGTTGGCATTCTCTTTATAATGTCTATTAATCCTTGTATAAAATCAGTACCATTTGCCACCATAAAAGAACAGAGTTATTTTAAGGAGGAAGAAGAAATTCTCTTCTCCATGCATACTGTTTTTCGAGTGGGTGCGATTCAACAGATGGACAATAAGAATCAACTTTATCAAGTTGAATTACAATTAACGTCGGACGATGATCAACAACTACGAGTACTTACTGATCGAATGCGAGAAGAGGCTCATGGTCATACAGGTTGGCAAAGATTGGGTGACTTATTATTTAAAATTGGTCAATTTAATAAAGCTGAAGAACTTTATAACGTATTACTTGACCAAACATCTGATGAGGGTGAAAAAGCTATTTATTATCATCAACTGGGATCTGTGCATTTAAATCAAGGTGATTATGAAAAGGCTATTTGGTATTTCGAACAAGGACTAGAGATTCTACAAAAAACTCTTCCTTCAGATCATCCTGATTTAGGTATTCCAAACGGGAGTATCGGTCTGGTGTATTATAACATGGGAAAATATTCAAAAGCACTCTCATATTATGAAAAAGCACTTGAAATTCAATTAAAAACTCTTCCTTCAGATCATATTGATTTGGCTTCTTTGTACAACAACATCGGTACCGTGTATGACAACATTGGAGAGTACTCGAAAGCACTTTCATACTACGAAAAAGCGCTTGAAATTCGAGAAAAAACCCTTCCTACAAATCATCCTTCTCTGGCTGCTTTATACAACAACATCGGTTTGATGTATGGCAACATTGGAGAGTACTCGAAAGCACTTTCATCTCACGAAAAAGCACTTGAAATTTATCAAAAAACTCTTCCTCCAAATCATCCGTTATTGGCTATTTCATACAACAACATCGGTTTGATGTTTAACAACATGGGAGATTACTCGAAAGCACTTTCATCTCACGAAAAAGCACTTGAAATTCAACTAAAAACTCTTCCTTCAAATCATCCGCATTTGGCTTGTTCATACAACAACATTGGTAGCGTGTATGACAACATTGGGGAGTATTCGAAAGCACTTTCATACTACGAAAAAGCATTCGAAATTCAAGAAAAATCTCTTTCTTCAGATCATCCTGATTTAGCTGTTTCATATGGCAGTATCGGTTTGGTGTATTGCAGGATGGAAAAGTATTTGAAAGCACTTTCATTCTACGAAAAAGCACTTGAAATTCAAGAAAAAACTCTTCCTTCGAATCATCGTCATTTGGCTACTTCATACAACAACATCGGTAGTGTGTGTCGCAACATGGAAAAGTACTCGAAAGCTCTTTCATATTACGAAAAATCAATTAAAATTAAACAAAAAGCTCTTCCTTCAGATCATCCTGATTTAGGTATTTCAAACGGGAGTATCGGTCTGGTGTATTATAACATGGGAAAATATTCAAAAGCACTCTCATATTATGAAAAAGCACTTGAAATTCAATTAAAAACTCTTCCTTCAGATCATCCTGATTTGGCTATTTCATACAACAATATCGCTCGTTTATATTACGATATGACAGACTATTCGAAAGCATTGTCATATTATGAACATGCTCTGCGCATATTAAAACGTACATTGCCTCCAACTCATCCTCATATCAGAAGTGTGCAAGGGAGTATTGACGTTGTAAAAACGAAATTATAAAAAAATAGTTAATAAATAAATAAAAGAATGTTTTGTTCACTTATTTTTGAATTAATTCTAGATTGTAGCGACTCGCGCGCGCGTACAGAGCACAACTTTTGTAAATAATGAAAATATATTGGATACAATCGATTGATAAGGCAATACACATATATACGTATGTGTATAAATGAACTTCTCAGACATATTTATATTTCTAATCGTTTATGAGAGTCTTCCTTGCAATAAAAGAAGAAGAATAACTTATATGGAAATGAATTGTAATAGTGTTGAACGAGAGGGCTCGTATGATGAAGAAAAAACTAAGAAAACTGCGATATATATGTATATATATATATATGGATATGTTTGCAATATTTTGTAATGAAAAGCAAATGCACTAATAAGGCGTGAAGGGATAGACAAAAAAACATAATTAATCGTGTTTATACTATATCAACTATAGAGATAACTTTAATTAGTAAAGTAATGCAAGTAGTTATTCGTAATATCAAGATCGATCTACACCCTAAAGAATTAATCGAAATCAAGATAAGTCTTGTTTTAGATGATCTAAATTAATTGAAAACACTAAATTTGATTGTTTTGATCACAGCCATGAGTGTAAGTACTGAATTAACTGACTGAATTGTAGTTTCATTGATTATTCAGATTCTGAGAAAGTTTATACAATTAGTAGAGTTCGTTGAGTTAACGATTTTCTTTTATGATCTGAATGATTAAGATAAACTCATATAATATATTATTTCAACTTTTATTTGATTTAACATCAACGATGGAATTCAAAACTAATTACTAATATATTTATTATAGCTAATAAACTTTATTCTCTGTTTCTAGCAATGGAATTAAGAGTGATTAAAGTCATTTGTATTCTATGTTTTTTTAAATAATCAATATCCATCAAAAGAAATGATGACAGTACAATATAAAATTTATTTTGTTCCATTTGTACATGTAAAATGATATGTATATTTTTTTATTGAAAGACAACTAAATTACACCCTGAACAAAGTGAGCATGACGAAATGTCTTCTCACTATTAATTATTTACATTATCTAATCATGACTTCGTAGTTAATACCTTTAAACTATTTCCTATAGATAACATTTCTATATGAGATGAATATTTCGTATTAGACAATAATTTAATTAGAATTAGAAGTTAAAAATAATATGCAATTTAAAAGTTGCTTTTTTAATATTTGCTGAATTATATGATATAATTAATTTCACAGGCTGCATAATCAGTCGTCATTTACGTAATAAGCTACATTGTTCTTGTAAATTATTAACATAATAATCAAGTTTAATAAGAAGATTTCTTCTTTTCATGATCTCGAAATCTATGTGGTTTACTTACGATGCATTTAATATTTGAATTACTTTTATTTTAGCAAAGTGGTTCAAAGGAACAACATGATCTATGAAATATCTATGGAAGATTTTTAAAATGTTGAACAAATAAGAAAAAAACATAGTTAGATTTCATATATAGAATTTTTTGATAATTAAAATAATCTGAAGAAATGAAAGATTAGATTTTCAAAGTGTTAACAGTCATCACTCGATGAGTGAGAATAACAATAAAATGAAATAGTAAATATTAATTAAGACAAGCTGATCGATTTGTAGCAGAAATAATGTTCAACAATATTTTTCTATGTTAATGATGAAGTAATAACACATTCGAATAACAATGACATTTTTTTCAAATGAATAATATGACTTTATATGATAAACTTCTTTTAATTGATATACCCTATTTATCATACTGTTTTACAGAAATCGTTAAAAGTAAACTATCTCTTCTCATTAAGGAATAACTAAAGTTAAATGAAGCAACAAAAGAAAATCTCTTTTATCAAACATATATATATATCCGGCTATTAGAAAACGACGTTACTCCTAATTATATTAAGCGACAAATATTTATCAGTTTTGCATTTGTTTAATAAAATATTTCTTTTGTTGTTGCATCTAACTTATGTAAATTATCTTCTGCTAATACGTTTTAGAAGAGCTGAAAGTCTTTTGAACTCACCGTAATACAACATTAATTCATAAGAACAAAATTTTTTTTCTTAAAAGTATTTACAGTTAAATTGATAATAGGCATTTTGTAACAGAACTGCAATTATTATAAATTTTATATCCTTTTAATGATCTTGATTAGTGCCTAAAATTTGTTGTATTTAAACGGACAAGTTGAAATTAAGTTTCGAAATTGGTGCACATAGAAGATGAAAAAAACGTGAGATTGTTATAAATAGACATTCGCATTTGTGATCGATCGGATTTAACATGTACTATTCGTTACTACTCCTCTATTTAATTCTTGTTTTTATTTAACAAACCTTGCCTTAAAGAATTCATTAGATGAAACATAATAATCTAAATGTACCTAAAACTGATAAATCACTATTTGTAGTTCCCTGTGATTCAATAACACTCGTTAAAACAATTTCACCATCAAAAATGAAATACTCTTTCATTTAAATAAAAAGTATAAGTACAAAATTGTAATAAAATTAAATGATTCCTACAATAAGATTTAATTAACATTGGTAACCGTATAATACAATATATATAGCTATAAAGCTTCTATTACAAATAAAGTGATTTGTTCATAAAAATTTATGGCTATCTTTTCATGTTATTTGTATTTTAATTATCTCGAAATGTGAAAAAAACAAAGTCCATAGTCAAAATCATGTTTTTGTGACGCCTCCTGTAACGAACTAAACCTTCTGTTGAAAATCGAAAAACGAATGATATCAGTTCGAGCTATATATCTTTCTTCTTTTAGAAGAATGATTAATTCACATACTTCATATACATGATCTCGATCACGTGATATTCTAATTTTCTTTTTTTTTCCATTTAATTTATTAAAAAAAGAAAACATCATAGCCAACCACTCTGAATGTGGTCGCTTCCCTCCTTGCCGCATCACGAAGACACAACAAGGTGCGATCATCAAAGGAAGCAGGCCGAGCTCTCGAGAAGAGAGCAGCCCCATCCTACTTCACGCTCAAGAAGAACCACTGCCACTCGTCATCGTGGGTTGTTTGGGTCTTCTTTGGCTATGGGTGTTTTGTCGATATGTACTACAGAAAATGATCCTGTGAAGTACAATCTTAAAGTTATTTCTAAATCTGTTTGATTTTTATACCCATTTAACAGTCAGATATTGCATAGTAAAGATTTACTTTTTCATTCTGTTAACTATGACTCATAAACAAAGGAACGAAAAAAAGACTTGTTCTTTCTTTTGTGTGAATGATTTCTTATTAGTAAGACAAAGAAAATTAAGTTTTCGTTGTTGAATTATAATAAAATCGTAGAAATGCAGCTTCATATAATCCCACAACTTTTTCTTCTTCACAAATATCTTTGAAAAAAGAAAAAAAAGAATAAAACATTATAACAAAAGTTTAATTTTTTACTTGTATTTCTTGTCGATTTAGATAAACCACAACGATCTACAAGTGTTCCATTAGATATTTTATCAGCAAAACATCGTTTATTCGATCCACAAAGAATAGCCTAATAAAATATGAAATCATATTATGTTACTAGGAAAAAAGAAAAAGACTATATTATTTACCTTCTCAGATGGATTACATAGATGATAACATTTGCATATTTCATAGCCATCTTGTTTTCGATAACCATATGGACATGTCTTTAGTTTTCCTCCACAATTAAGAGGTTTACATGTTTTATTATTTGAATTTAGTGCTTGACTTTCAAGAATATAAATAAATCCGATGACAACAAATAATACAGTTAATAAATGAATAATCTAGAATAAATATAATAATGATTTATTAGACATTGCTTTAACAATGGAATATCATGAAACTTAAACTTAGATTTTCGAATGTACTTATATGAAAATAATTTTCAGAGATAATAATAGAACATGAGTCATGCTTTATTTGAGGATTAAACTGTAGTAATAAATCGAAAAGTCAATCATGATACTCAATGATTATAAAAGCGACATGTATATTCAAAACGTTATAGAAATGACGAACAAAGGTTGATGATACATTGTTGTCTTTGTAAATTTAAATTCTTTGTTAAAAATTTATAACTATTCAAACTATTTTCTGTCATCAACATTTTACTTTCATAAAAATTAGTTCGATATGTATTATGAACTGGCTCAACTTTAAAATAAGTTCCATTGATTTCTTTCTCTATTGTAGCATTATCATGTCGACTGTGGGCTGCAAAACATCAAGTTTTTGCCTATCGATTGATCAAACTTAATAACACCACAAAAAACATTTATTAAAAAAAATATTTAATTTTTTAAATTTTTGGCACGTGGCATGTGATCAACATATTGGAGTAAAAATTTTCATTAAGACATTTTTATTATCATTTTTCTATTAGATGATGTTAGCATTATCTTTAAACAATTATCACAGCTAATTGATCTTATTGACGAAATTTATCTTATCTATATTTTTAAGACAAAGCATTGTCTTTCGTACTTAAGTATAAGTAAAGAAGCGTATCTGTTTAAGGTATAGGTAAAGTATCAAGTACGTTTTTTAGAATAAAAGTATAATACTCCAACTTGCGATGCCTGTACTTGTTGTATTTCTGTGATGTTTATTTAAAAAAGCTACTCGGTTACATTTATTAGAATAGGGATTTTTTTGTCAGATTTATTTATTAATTAAAACCACGTTGTGAGTTCAAAACCCTTCTTCTCAATAGAATAGTAAGGTTGTTTGTCATGGGATAATAAAAGAATACAACAACATAAGTGTTTAATAAATTTTCTTTGATCATCGAACATAGAAAAATAGTCAGCATCAGTTAATGAATTGATTCTCCGTCGAAAATAAATACCAAAATCTCTGAACAATGACTCTGTCTTTGCAATTACTTCGCAGTTTTCATCATCAATAGTTTTTGGTAAGTCATATAAAGATATTCGTAACAAACTCAATTGTGGCAATGTTGAACGTAAGTATGAAAGCACCGACCAATTTGAAAGCATATAGCGAGGATATGTATAAAAAACCAGCTAAAAGAAAAACTGTCTCAGTAAAAGTTATTTGAATAAAAAGATTATTTAACTAAAAAGTTTTTAAATTTACGTGATAGAAAATGACTTTTATATTACTTGAGGATGTAAGTGTGGTAATGTGTCTTCTCTTTATTCACACCCACACCCTCTCCAAGATTTTTGATAAACTAATGTTTTTTTTCGTTTATTTTCAAAAATAAAAATTGTAAATATATCAAATAAAATCCAAACTATTTTTAATTTATAATTTTTTCATATTTTTGGATTCGATGATTTTCCTCATCAACAACATAAAGATTTCCTTCATTATCAAATGATAAACCTTTGGGATAATGCAATTGATTTGATTGATTTCCTTTATCATTTCCACCAACAACAATTTCCCCTTCTTCATCTCCTTCACACCAACGTACTATTCGATGATTCCCACAATCAGCTACATAGATTTGACCCAAATGATCAACAATCACACCTCGAGGATAAGACAATTGTTTGAGATCATTCCCTTTATCATTTCCACCAGCAACAATAATTCCTTCTTTTGCATCTTTTTCCCATTTCATTACACGATGATTGTCTGTATCTGATATATAAAGAGAATAATCTCCATTAATAAAGATAAAAGTAGGTTTATTGAGTTGATTAAGTTGCTTTCCTTGACCATTTCCACCTGCAACTAATTCACCTTTTTCATCTCCTTGTTTCCATCGTCTTACTTCATGATTTTCACAATCAGAAACATAAATGAATCCATTGTTGTCAATCGTCAGACCCCAACATTTAATATTTGATATAATAATTTGTTCATTTGTTTGATTTTGAATAAAATATCGAATAATACTTGGTAGTCTAGTTTGTTGATTTTGAATAATATATCGAATTACTCGTTTGTTTTCAGCATCAGAAATAATAAAAGAATTATTTTCTTTATCATAAATTATATCTCTTGGTTCATTCAATTGGTTATTTTGATTTCCTTTTCCATTTTCACCTATAATGATTTCACCAGTATTTGAATTCAATTTCCATTTAACAATACGATGGTTCTCAGAATCAGCAATATAAAGTGATTTATCATTATCAATAAAGATCCCTTGAGGGTAAGAAAGTTGATTTAATTCCGGTCCATCATCATTTCCACCAGCGACAGTAATTCCAAGTTGTTGAAATTTACTCTTTTCTCTTTGAATTTGTTCTAAAGTAAAAGATTTTCTTTTTATTCTGAACTAAAGAGTTAAACTTAACTTAAACTTATTGAACAATTTAAAAATAAGATAATCTTTTCATTAAAATACTAAAAGAGATTTTATCGAAACAAAAAATCAATTATTTATAAATTATTCTATTAAATTAGTTTATACTCTCATCGATTTTTAAAACAATTGTTTTATCATTTATCCTACAAATAAAATTCTAGAAGTATAATCTTGAATAATTTTATTTTTCGATTAAAATTATCAATGGATCAAATTCAATAATACAATATTAAATATTCCCTATTTATCTGATTATTTTGAGATTAATATTATAAATTTTACAATGATTTACTTATTAAATTATTTTCTTTCATTTTCTATAATTATGAATTTATATACAGCAACTTAATCTAATCTTGAATCATTTCAATTTTTTATTCGATTAGTCTAGAAAAATCTAAAAAATAATAAAATCTACTGAATATTTTCTTTCACAAGCTTAATTAAAAAAATAGTCCGCTCGCCTTATTTCTTACAAGAGATAAGTTCTTCTTGATTCAAAAGACATACCTTCTTGATGATCGACTAATGCAGAAGAATCCATTTGATGCTCATTGATATTGAGAATTGATAATGTCTGTATTAAAAACGAAAAATAAACTTAATAAAATTAAAAGTTTTTGTTTTATTTAAAGAATCATTAAGAATAGATGAGAAAATAATATGAATTAGTCAATATTTCATGTAAGATAATAATAATAATGAATGATTAGAGAGTGCAATCAGTAACTTAGCGAACCGGCTAAATAAACTTAATAAATAAATGAAAACTGTGTGAAGAACTCACCTGTACAGTCTCGTCATCAATGGCACTCGCAGTCATTCTATAAAAAAACAATAGTTGATAAAAGTATGCACAGAAGAACGTTAAATCTGACCTCGTTTGATCGTTCTGTTCCTCTAGTTCTTTTCTTGATCTATTTACAATGGCATCGATGATCATTGGACATGTCGATCGTGTATTTGGATCTTGAGCCCATGCTCTTGTAATAATATCTCGAAATTGATCTGGTACTTCTGTTGGAATAGGTAACCGCTCTCCATGACATACACCCAGGCGAATAACCGATTCGTTAGAATGTTCATAAGGTATCAGGCCAGTAGCTAATTCCCAAAAAACAACGGCCAAGGCAAACACGTCACTAGCTAATGTTGGTCGGCCAAAAGCGAATAGTTCAGGTGCTAACCATTGGACAGTTCCTATAGTCGACGGCGGAGTGATGTTATTACAATTTGTTTGTCTTATTGTTTCTTGTCGTATATCAGCTAAACCAAAGTCTCCTACTTTAATAAGAAACTGTTGACGTGCTCCTTCTTTCAACAGGAAATTTAATGATTTTATGTCACGATGAACAACAGGCGGTTGGAGATGATGAAGATAATTGATGCCTTTAACCATTTGAAGAGCAATTGACCATCTATCTGGCCAAGTAAACTGAATCTTCTTTTTCTGTAGAACATCAAATAAAGAACCCAGTTCCATATATTCGATAACAAGTGCATATACTTGTGGTTCCATACAAGCACCAAATACATTCAATACATGATCACAACGAATCTTGTGCATAATATGAATCTCACGCATAAATTCTTGAGTGACACTATCTGTTAAATGGGTTACACGTATAATTTTGATAGCGACTTCATGCTGTTGACTTAACCAAACACCACGATAAACATCAGCAAATCCACCTATACAATAAAACAAAAATCGTTTTGTCGAACTTATTTTAGTATGAATTGATTCGGTTGAGATCTTACCTTGTCCTATACATTTTTCAACACGTAAATCATAAAATGGAATCGGCAAAAAGTGTTGTACCTGTTGTTCTATTGCCTGAGCTACACGTACATCAGTTGTTTTCCGAAGATTCTGATCTAGATGGTGTCGAAAAGAAGCGTATTGTTTATTGAGAAGATTTTCTATGCTTTCTTGTTGTCTAACCATCAATTGAACTATTTCATCTAATTTTGTATGTATTTCATTCATGTCTTTTTGTTGATCGTTTTCATCTTCTTTACGGTTGAATAAACTTTGTAAACTTATTGAAAGATGAAGATCTTTTGTGCATTGTTCGATTTGCTGGTTCAACGATGCAAATTGATCTTTATAATTTTGATGATAAAATATTTTCTTATACCAGGTCAAGTCATTTGTGAATTCCTTTATCAAATCTTGGCATTGCTGAATGATTGATTCCAAACGTTCTAATGTCTTGATCGTCTCAGGATATTGGTGGAGAACATCTGATTTTTTAAGTATATCTTCGATAACATAATCAATACGTTGACTCAATCGTCTACATTGATTTCCATTAGCTTTGACTTGACCAACAGTCGAAGCGAAAATCTTCGCTCCTTGTTGAAGACGACTGAAAATCAAAAAATTCATAGTCAGTTTCTTCAACTCACAAAGAAACACACAACAATGTGCACGCACTCACAAGAACGTGTTGTCGGTTATATCTATTGTCTTATTGAGATAAGCAGTCGATGTGAAGTTAGCACGAAAACCAATTACATTCTCAGAACCAACATCCAACCAAGCGACAAGCACAAAATACCACTAACAATCCACACAATACCAACTCAACTACCTTAGTTACCATACAAATTTAAAATATACACCACTACGTTTTCCGAAAAAAGCGAGCATCTTCTGCTCTATTAAAGTAATTCGTCAGATACAAAATTTCGTTCTCTATCGAATGGTATATTCAGTCTCTCTCGGCCATTCTTCCTGAAAGAAAGATTCTCTCTTCAAGTACAGTACAAAAGCGTCTCTACTGACTACTGTCGTGCTTTTAACAAATATGTAATTGAATTACGCATATTAAGAACGGACAAGGAAAGATTAATTGTAAAAATCCAATTATTTGTAAACCTGTAAATGTCAGTTTTTAATATCGAATATGTTGAGATCATGTCTAATTAATCTTTCAATAGATTGCTTCTTTACTGTTGTCATTTCAACAACGCAGAATATAATATTCATTCTCTATTTATGTCGTATAATGAAGTAAAGATCGATGAGCATATTCTTTGCAAAAAAATACCAGATATAATTCAATGGTTTTTAGATTAACAAAATTATCATGCCGTTCTTGACTTACTAAGGACACCCATGTCCATATTTCTGTGCCCTTACAATGATAATTTCGTAGTTCTGATTTTATGACTGATTAATTGTTGGCCAGTAAGAATTTTTCTCTTTTCGTGCTAGTTTCACATCGATAGATAAGCAATTCTTTTTCATTACGAAAAGGAACAGAATAAACACAGCACACATCATAGATAATAACTCATACGAAGAAGAATTGCGTTTCTCTTTGGCGATACTCTTTTGATGAGGGACTGTCGACTGTGTCAATATTTTTACGAATCTACATTGGAGGGAAAGCTACATCCTCACTCACCCTCAATAGAAAATTTCAGACATCGGATCCTTGTATAAGGGCACCACGAAATACACACGCTCACATCCACTTCATCGTTTTTTTTATTGAGTAAGTAAGGTAGACATAGAACGATGTTCAATCTTATGAATCACATGCAAAATGATCCTTTACTAGAAAAAAGATAGTTTGATTAAAACATATTTTCGTACATGAATTCTAGACAAAATTTTAATGAACAATCAGTTCTAATAAAATACCATATAAGAACGCCATCTCATCTTTTCAATAGCGTTTTTAATGCGCTAGATGTCTATTAAGAAAATAACCAATCAACACCATAGACTGTCTCGATGTTCAGTTTTAGTTTTGACCAATTATTATTACACCTCTTGCTATAGAAACACAATCAGAACATTTACATTTTCGTAACGAATATTTTTGTATGTCTATTTGTATGATGACCACTCTTTTTTCTTTAATTTAAGAAATGAATTCTAATGATATTACTGATCAAACTGAACAGCCATTTCCTGACAAACTTGTCATTGCAGCCGCCGAATATAATAAACAACCCATTTTAGATATATTATTGAATCATATCATTCCCGATTCTAAACCAGTCTCAATTCTTGAAATTGGCTCGTGTACTGGTCAACACATAACTCATTTTGCTGCTCAGTTTCCTCTTGCAACTTTTCAACCATCTGATATAGATTCACAATATTTAAAAAGTATTCAAGCTTATATTGATGAATATGAAATAAATGCATTCACAAAAAATATTTTACCACCATTAAATATTGATGTTCTTTCAGCATCATCTACGACTATTAGTAGTCAATCGCATGATTTTGTTTATTGCTCTAATATGATTCATATTACACCCATTGAATGTACAAAAGGATTATTTGCATTAGCTGAACGAGTATTAAAATCAGAAGGTAGTTTAATTACCTATGGACCGTATGGATTGCAAGGTGATGGAAGAATTACACCTGAAAGTAATCGACGTTATCATGCTTATCTACAAATGCAAGATTCAAAATGGGGTTTAAAAAGTATTGATGAACTGGTAGTAATTGCTCATGATCACCATATGGTACTTAAACAAATATTCGATATGCCTAATAATAATAAAATTTTATGGTGGATTAAGAAAAAAGAGTTGTAACAGAATTATTATATACTTTTTTATTTGTCAGTTTTTTATAAAAAATGTTCTATAAAATAAATAAAAGATAGACTGTAGAGTGTTGTGAAGATGATAATTCTCTCCGTTTGTTCGTAGAAAAATCACACGCTAGGAAATATCCCAATAGGTGAACAAAGACGAACGAAAAGGAAAGAACCAACAGTCGAATGATGAGTCACACGATATATAATATATACATATGTAATCGCAATTGTATACTCTAAATTTATGTTACCATTCATTTTTCAAAAGGTAAATATTTTAGTTTAGAAAAAAGCGCTTCAATATTTTCCTATTAAGTTCAATTTATGACGTTATTAAAAGTATAATTTTATTTAATACATTCTTTCGTCTTCTATGTACATATATGAACAAACTAAATCTAATATAACGAATTCTAGATCGTTCTTTCTTGCCTAAGAAAAGAAAGAAAGAAAGAAAAAAACGACCACATCGAAATATAAACATTTGCTTTCTATTGATTCATCATAACACATCATTCTTCGAATGAATTATTGATTTTTTTAATTATTCCGTTGTCATTATGCCATCACTGTTTTATGAGCGTCTACAAAAACATTTATCACCTACTAATTCTATCAATGATAATAAACGGTGAGAATAATTGTTTATTTATTTACATGTTTTCATTTTTGTTTTAGAAAATATTCTGATATCAATCCGGACATTTGTAATGAACCAGATTCACCTTGGTAATTTCAAAACTACAAAACAATTTCATCTATAATTATTAATCATTTAAGGTATACAATACATAACACAATAAAAAAACGACCACGTTTAACAACTTCTTCAATATCTTCATCAACATCCAATCGTAAATCTTCTCGAGTATTAAATCAAACTACACCAATGTCTGATTCGGATAGTGATCTTATTGTACCATCAAAACGTGTAGTAAGAAAAAAGAAACCTAATACGATAGTTTCATCAGATTCGGATGATACGATTATCATCGATGATGATGATGATGATGGTGATGAAAGTCCACCAAAACCTATTAAAAAGAAAGTTAAACATCGACGTAAGATTATTCTTCATTGCATATAGATATAGATTATATTTTAAGTATTCTAGCTGAAATAACTGATGATAAATTAGATATTGAAACAAAAAAAGCTTTACGAGAACAAGCTGAACGTGATAAACGTATTAAATTACAACAAGAACGTGAAGAATTAGCAAGTTTAGAACGTATACGAAAACAAAAAGAATATAATGGAGAAATAATATGTGCACATGAACAAAAACAAGTACCAGTTGCATTTGAATTAGTTCTTGAAACAGATTTAAATACAAATAATATTATTATTGAAGTTGATCTAACGCTTGTTCAATATATGAAAAAACATCAAATCGAAGGTGTTCGATTTCTTTGGAATCAAGTTTTTGAATCAACAACACGTATTAAAGCTAGTATTAATAAGGAAACACATGAAGATCGAGGAGGTTCAGGAGCTATTTTAGCTCATTGTATGGGTTTAGGTAAAACATTTACTACAATCACATTAATTCATACATTATTTCGTTATCAAAAATTAACTCATATTCGTCGTGTATTAATTCTTTGTCCATTAAATACGGCTAACAATTGGAGAAATGAATTTCGACAATGGATAGGTCATCTTGAACCACATATCAATGTATATTTATTTAATGCTGAAGATATAGCAAAAAAAGATCGTATTCAATTTTTACGTCGTTGGTATGAAGATGGTGGTATTTTAATAATGGGTTATGAAATGTATCGTTTATTAAATTATGCATCAGATGCAACTGTTAAAAAGCCACGTAAAATTACTAAGAAAAAACCAAAATCAACTGAAGATGGTGGTGAAGATTTATCAAGTAGTGATGACGATAAATGGTTGAAGAAAAAAACAACTAAATCAAAAGCTGATTTAGCTAGTATTGAAAAATATCGAAAATATCTTCGTTCACCAGGTCCAGATTTAATTGTTTGTGATGAAGGTCATATGATTAAAAATCCTAAAAGTGCTGTTACACGTATGGTCAATGAAGTACGTACATTACGTCGAATAGTATTAACTGGTACACCCATGCAGAATAATTTGAAAGAATATTATGCTATGATTAATTTTTGTAAACCAAATTATCTTGGTAGTGAACATGAATTTTCTCGAAATTTTCGAATACCAATTGAAGCTGGTCAGCATAAAGATAGTTCAGCAGGTGATGTTGCCTATATGCGACGTCGAGCATATGCACTCAATCAACGTTTAATAAATGTACTTCATCGACGTGATTTTGATGTATTACGTTCATTTTTACCACCAAAATTTGAATATGGTATGTATTAAACGATACTAACAAAAATGAAATTTATAGAGTTTTAATTTTAGCTGTCAAAATTAAATGTACACCATTACAACAAGAACTCTATCGAACATATTTATTAATTCAAAATATTGATCCAGGAGCTCGATTAAGTATGTTTACGTTTTTTTGCTAAATGAAATTTATTGAAAAAATCGATTGATTTAAGATATGGCTAAATTGCTTGGTGATTATCAATATTTAATGAAAATCTGGACACATCCATGGCTTCTTAGACCACATTTTATTGATGGCTATTATAAATATTTAAAAGGTCAAGATCAAGTAGAAACTGATCAATTCTTTCAAGATGATCCTGATGAGATGATTGACGATAACGAAGTCGGATTAAAAACTCAAAAACGAACTAAACAAGTGTCTAAAATTAAACCCATACAATCAGTTACTACTGCTACTCCTCAAACGAAAATTAGCAAATATTTTCCAAATGCTGATGATGATGATGAGGAGGAGGATAATTCAGCAAGTACTGATAAATTGGCGGTAGTAATGAAAGCAATGAAAAAAGAATGGTGGTATGATATGTTTGATGTTGAACAATCACAATTTGATGTAAATTTAATTGAAAAAATAAAATAATTCATTATCTACTTTTTAATATGTTTAGATTGAACTATCAGGTAAATTTGAATTATTTCGAGCAATATTAACTGAATGTGAATCAATTGGTGATAAATTATTGGTTTTTACTCGCAGTCTTCTTGCACTTGATTATATTGAACAATGGCTTGAACGTTGGAGTTCTAGAGCATCTTCACCTAAATGGGCTAAAGGCAAAGATTATTTTCGTATGGATGGTAAGACATTTTTTTTTGTTTTTAAAAATATTATTCTCATATATTCATATAAAAAAAATAGGAAAAGTTCCAATTAAACAACGTGCAGCTGATATCAAATCATTTAATGAACCTGAAAATACTCGTGCTCGTTTATTTCTTATATCAACAATGGCGGGTGGAATTGGTATCAATCTTCATTCAGCTAATCGTGTTATTATTTTTGATGTTAGTTGGAATCCAGCACATGATCTTCAAGCTATGTTTCGTTCATATCGACTTGGACAAAAGAAACCTGTATATATTTATCGTATTATTGGTAAAGCTACAATGGAGGAAAAGATTTATAAACGTCAAATCATTAAACAAGCTATGTCACAACGTGTAGTTGATGCTAAACAACTTGATCGACATTTTACTAATGACGAACTTGCACAACTTTATCGATTTGATACAGATTTTGATAATGATCCATTAGATAAATATGATGCTGATAGAGTTAAAGATAAAGTTTTAAGAAAATTAATGGATGAATATGCTGAATTAATTGTATCATATCGTGAACATGATTCACTTTTAATTCATCGTGATGAAGAAAATTTAACCGAAGAAGAACGAAAACAAGCACAACATGAAGATGAACTTGCTAAAACAAAAATCTATGGACGTAATAAAGAAGCAGCAATACCTTTAACTGATGATTCTATCATTCGAATTATACCAGGACAAGTTATGGATCTTTTACGACAAACTACAATAGGACCTAAATCTTAAAATTCTATTTATTTATTTTTCTTATAATAATCAACTCTTAAACTAATCAATATAATAAACATAACTGTTAAAATTTAGAAAATATGAAGAATACAATTGTATATTTAATGCGGAAATGAAAGTCTGTTTTGGAAATGCTAGAAAAATAATTGATTTATATAAACTCACATTCTTTTCCTTGTAGAGAAGAGTCTTGGATACATAAATTGATTGCTTATATGTCCGCAGGATCAAAAAAACATCGAAAATCGATTTTCAGGAAAAGACATTTCTTGAGGTATTTCGATGCGGCGAATTTAAATGTGCGACTCATTTGCTCGGAGTAATGAAGAGGAAGTGTAAACTAATAGAAACCTAGTTTTTCTTACGTATAAGATTACTAATACTTCACTTATTTGTTAAAGACTGATCCAAGAAGTCACTGGTTCCGCAGACGAGCGTTACTTGTACTTTTATTTGTTCTAGAATCATTAGTAGAAGACAAGAAAATTGCATAGACTATTTACACTTATTATTTGATTTAGAATGAGGCCATATTCAAACAGAATTCGTAGGATAGCTCATTTAAAGTAGTATATACCTATCATGAATTGTTCTTATTAAAATTCGATATATTATTATTTTGATTTGTAGCAAAAGAAAAAAGAGACAAAAAAAAACGTTTAACAAACAAAAGGAAAAAAAAAGATTCTCCACGTGAACACTAAAATTGTACACAAATAGCAATAAAGCTTTTTATGACAAATAATAACTAACAGATCATCAAATAAAGCATGCACAAACGCGAGTTAGTAGAACAGATGAAGAGGACAAAAGAAAAAAAAAGAAAGTGAAAATGTACAAATAAAGATTATGAAAATTTGCATAATTAACTTTCGATACTAAAAGAAGAGACGAAAAGAAAAAACGAATAATGCATTTGAGGAAAAAATAATTAGCCAATGTCTAACTCTTATTTGGCTCGGATTTTTGAAAACATAATGTTTATACAGAAGGAAAAAACACCGAGTTAAACGTACACAGAGTCATTCTCTGTGAATAGAACTTCTGTTTGTCGGTAAGAATGTTTTTAATATATATTTTATTATCACAGTAGAGAAAGAGAAACAGATGAATTGCACATATGATCGTTTCAATTTATCACACGGATGTTTCAAGAGGTTGTTCCTCTTTCTCTTTTCTTTGCGATCCCTAAAGAAAAGAAAAAATAGAAATATTAATTATTATAAATTATATATTATTTACATCATAAATTAAACGTGGATCTTTATAGGTTCCACTTTCAAATAAACGTTTGCCTACATCACGCCCAGTTTTATTAGTTATTGTTGTATTAGTAGTCATAGATGTTTGATTTAAAGGAGTTGATTTGTCTCGTTTATTATAAGGAAATGTTTGAGGTAATACTGCTACTCCTTTTTTTGGAAGACCTAATACAGTATTCAACATTTCATCGAAAACTGCTGGATTTTCTAAATCAAATTAAATAATAGAAGAAAAATAAATAGATGATAAATTTCCTTTTACCTTGATTGGAACTTGTTTGACTTGATTGTCGAGGAGGAGTTGTTGAATGACCATTCATTCCTACTCCTCCGTTACTAACAGATGATCGAATCTGTTGTCGACCAAGTTGTCTCGATGATGGAACATCTTTCATAGCACCTGGCGTTATGGAACTTCCTCGACTTTTTATCGATACATTATCTGATTGTTGCTGTTGACCATTGATAACTACGTCATTTAGTATTGATTTATTCAATGTCTTTTTATTACTTAAATCACGTATACGTGATTCAAGATATCGCATAAATGTATGTAAATCTTCTTGAGTTTTTGTTATATCGAATTGAGCAACACGTGAACGTATATCATCAAGTGCTGCATGTATACGAGCATCATTCGATGCTTGTAGACGAGAAAATAACGCTTGTATTTCTTGATTACTATGTGTAGATATATAACCCGTAAGAAGATCATTAGGATCAATATAATGTGGATTATAACATATTTCAGAATTTGCACTAACTTGTCCTGTATACCATTTCATTGACAACATTCTAGTATTATCATCGGAATTTGTTAATGCTGAAAATGACGTACTTGTAACAACTGATGTTAAATTTAATGGTACATGTATTTGTTTTGTTTGATTATGACTAACTTGATCAAGGTTATTTTCAAAAGATTTTGATGGTTGTGATTTTAATGTTGAATTTTGATCGGGTTTAGAAAATCCATCTGTACTATTATATTCTGAAACATTATGAAAACTTTTTGATAAACGTGCTTGTCGTTTAAATATTTGTTCATCAACATTATTTGTATGTGGTCGTAAATGAACAGTACCATTATCATCAATTGTATTTTCATTCGTTGGTGAATATGTTGATGAAACAAATGCACGTAAATCTTTATTTGATGTTGATAAAGTTTTTGAATGAATTTGTGTATCATGTAATGAATTTCGACTCAATGAACTTTGAATTTGTTTAACTAAAGCATTTGTATCAGCAATAATTGAACGATTTTTTTCATGTGTTGGAAGAGCTGATGCGGAACGTATTGGTATTGTTGATATTGGAGCTTTTGCTGGTATTCGTTTATGTCCATTGGTTAGAGTAGATTGCGATGGTGAATCATCACTATTTAATTTACCAACAAAATGTCTTGCAGATGGATGACGATGTGAAACAGATGATTCCATATTATAATCCGTACGATTTATAATATCATTAACTGTATTAACATCAAATTTTTTACGTACTAAAGCTTTTTCTAATTCATAACTTCGATTTGTTGTTAATGTTGGTAATGGTGGTGGTGGTGGAGTTGAAGATGGTGGTTGTTGTTGATTATTAATTAAATATGTAGGTTTTAATGTACGTGCTGGTATTGGTGGCGGTGGTGGTGGTACTTCATTAATATTCGTATTTACCGGTTTCGAATAATGATGAGATGATGGCGAGAAAGATGATGTTGTACATGATTTTGATTCACATTCCGATTCTGATGAACATGAACTTGATACATTTTCAACAATTTCAATATCATCATAAAATATAACCATATCATCCATGACTTGATTAATTTCAATATTATTATTATTACGATCATCATCATCGATATCATCTCGTTCAATAACCATATTTGTTACAATTTCAATTGGAGAAACTGATGAACGATTTGTTGGATGAGATGATTTTTGCTAAAAATCATATTTTAATAATTAATCATAGATTAATCATAAAACTTACAAAAGTATTCATCTTTTTTTTTTGTCTTATAAAAAAATAATATCTATAGTATTTTATTTGCTTGAGTAGTTCCTTCGATAGTTAGAATGTCATAACATTTATTCTAATGAAATGAGAAAAGGTCAAGGCTACGCGATAGAATAGAATAATTGAATTTTTTTATTTGAAAAAAAAACAAACTTTCTATCGTAAGTTTTTTCAAATAAAAGATCTCGGAATTATTTCTGTATCAACAATCTTCTCTTTTGCTATTTCCTCTGAATTCCCTATACAATTTTTGTTTATAAAAAAAGGAGAAAATGCATCTAAAAACAGAATAGGAAGGAAATTATCTATTAATACTTGAATTAACTGTCGGATCCTATTAAATTTATAACAAACACTTCACATACTTGTTGTATTGTTTGTGTTTGTTGTGATAGTGCTTTTGATTTTATTTGACTATTTAATGAATTTATGGGTGAATTTTCCGTACTTGAATGTGAACTTGAATTATTTAATGTTTGACGTTTTAATTTTTCATCATGAGAATCAACATCTTCAATATCATTTAATGTATCATCAACTTCATCGGAACTCATACGTTCTTGATTGGATGATTTTGTTTTTGAATAATCCATTTTTCTTGCTGTTATAGGTGGTGAACGACTCTGGGTTTTCTTTGATATTGATGAATTATTACTAGTAATATCATCAAGATTTGTAACTTGTTCAGCAGATATTCGTTTATCGGAATCCGTTGAATTTTTATGATTATAAAAACGTTGAATAGCTTCAACAGCGGGATATTGTGCAGAAGTTTTCTTTGATTTCGTTTGATTATCATCTGTAACTTCTTCATAATATGTACTTGATTCACTTGTTGTATCTGTTGTTGATTGACCATTAAAATGAAAAACTCGATCAATAGCACCACGAATAAATTGTAAATCAGCATTCGATGTTGTTTGTAATTGATCATCATCTGTTGATGTTGAATCAATTTCTTGATAAATATTTTGTTTATATGTTTTATCAGATGGTTTTGTTCGTATTGGAGGTGATGGTGTACGAACTCGTCCTCGTTTTGTTTTCGAATGCACTTGTGTTGATGATGATGATGATGAGACTGATGGTTCTTGTTCAATTGATGATGATGTAGGGTTTTTATGAAGAATAGTTCGTCGAATAAATGATGATTCTTGTTCGAATAGATTAGGTCGAGGTGGTGGTGGCGGTGGTGGTGAAGGTGATGATCTTCGAATTTCATGAGTTGTTCTAGGATGAATAGTTGGAACTTCATATTGAGGAAATACTATTGAACTTGTACGTGTTGAAGGTGGAGATATAATTGATTGAGGTACAACTGATGGCGGTTCCATATGTGTGACCTACATAAATATAAATCATGTTAATTTATTAAAATCTCATTTGTTTAGCATAGATTAAATTTATCTTGTCATTTTTATAACTATATGTCAAGGAGATGTATTCTGGAAGTTCAAGTATATATAAGAATTAATTTCAAGATCTTTTCCCCCAAAGGGCTCGCCTAGCAGCTGTACTTTATAATTATTAATAATCATAATTGAAATGAAATTTTTATACTTACAGGAATTGTTCTTTCAACTGATTTTGATGTCATTTTTGGTGATGTATATGTAATTGTACGACTTTTATCTTCTCGATTTAATGATGATGAACGATATTCTGTTGTTCGTCGATAATTATAATTTGATACAGATGGTGAATATGTATTTGTATCAAGAAATGGATTAACACGTCGTAATGCATTTAATGATACATTATCATAAGATATCGGACTAGGATAATGATGAATATGATAATGTGATTCACTACTTGTTGTCGATGTACGACTTAATGGACTAACAGGTGCACTACCAAGAAAATACATTGAATGATTTGGATGTAATGTAACTGTTGTTGTTTTATGATCATAATACGATCCAACCGAATAATGTCTATGACGAATTTTTGATGTATATGCTGATGGACTTGATAAATCAGAAAAATGATGTATAACTGTATTCCATTTTTCAAGATTATCACTTGTATCAATATGAAGTGATGTTGAATGTTCATCTGATTGTGATGTTGTATATAAAGGTGGTAGAATATAAATTGGAATAACATTATTATCAGTTGTTTTTGGTGGTGGTGCTGTTAAGATTTGTTTGTCACTTTCAGTCGTTGACATTTCTTTTATATTAGTATTGATAATAGGGCTATCAGTAGTTGTTAAATAATCAATATTTGCATCAAATTTAATCAATATCTAAAAATAGAAATATTTATCTATGTAAATTGGATAGACATGGAGATTTACTTTATCATCAGCAGCTATGAATGATGATGTATTTTGACTATGATCAGACAAACTATTTTCATGTTCAACTTCATATAAAATATCTTCTTGTATTGGACGACGATAATTTGTATTTGAATTATTATCATCATTTGATATATCATCTAAATTTGTTATCATTGTTGATGAATGATTGATATTATTATTATTATCATCAAAACCAAATGGATCATTTGATGATGATATATGAAAATTATTTGATGTTTTATCTTCCATTGAAAATATACGTTTAGATGTTTGTGTTGGACTTTCAATTTGTTCGATTTGTAGACTATTATTATTATTATTATCATCATCATGATGTAGAAAATTTGATGCTTCATTATCTGTAGAATTACGTGGTGAAAATAAGAAAAATTCATCACCAACAGCATTAATATCAATTTCACGTAAGATTTCATCATTGGAAATTTCACGAATTTCAGATGATTCATTTTCTATAGTAGGAGTTGTTGGATGATTAAATGTTTTTTCACTACCATCATACCAATTTGTATTTTCAATTGGATGAGATTCTATAGTCGTTGAATTGTTGACACTTGATGGAGTAGATGTAATTATTGGTAATGTTGAATTCTCCATACCAATGACAACTGATGGAATAATAGTAGATTTTTGTTCTGATGTTGAAACAGTAGCGATGTCGAGATCTATTGAAATAGAACGAAGAATAAGAAGACGAAGAAGAAGAAGAAGAAATAAATAGTGATAAGAAAATAGAGTCCTATTCGTATGCATGCGTGCGTGCGTCATTCTTTCGATTCTCTTTTCTTCTTCATAATAATAAAAAGGCTGTGAACAGTCATTCCCTCATAATAACCACATTCGTTCTCTTAGGGATAGTAAAAAAACAACACGTGTATACACATATATATGTATGAACATATAGATCACCAGAAAATGAGTTATATCGAATAATTATAGGTTGTCATTTCATGTTAACTGTCTCAAGAAGACGAAAACTAACACACACACACACACACATATTTTATCGCTCGATCATTAACAATTAAGACAAAGATTCGATCTATACTCCTAATATGTTTAAATTGTCGCGTATGACAATTATCAGAGCAAAACAGAAACTGACTACCAATTTGTGTATGACTACCTTTTATGCGAATGTAAAAGACGCTTATTTTTTGTGTCTGAATGTGTACGACGAAAATGGTAAAAAAAGTGATTTTTTTTCTCTCTATTGCAACAGTTGTATTGCTCGTCATCAAACATTACTTTTTTTTCTTGTTCTTTATTTACACCCACTTCAAATCTGACTTACCTTTTTTCATCTATTCAAAACTTTGCTTATATATATATATACATATTGTGACACACTTTTATTGAATTCAATCGTTATAATGTTACTTATTATATTTCGAACGTAAAAGAAAGAATTTTATGTATTAAATTTACCTTCGGCATTGGGTTCTAATGTTTCAGCATGGCTTAAATCTGAAAGTGAACTATGCACAGATAATGTTAAATTATCATCATCTAATTGTGGTGTAGGTGTTTCATAACCAGTTACGGATGATGATGATGATGTATCACCTGCACGTGCTGTATGATATGAAGCTGTTGAAGGTGATATACATCTATCACTAAAACTTGCATATGATGATGAATCAGTTTGTATTAAATTTTTATCAGCTGGTGGTAAAACTGCTGAACGATATGATTCAGCATCAGATGAAACACTTTTTAATGAATTTGTACGTGGAATAGTTGTTAGAACAATGGATTGATTATCTATAATAGGTTCGAAGAGTGGTGATGTTTGTGTTACAAGTGCTAAAATATGAAATTTTTATGTTATCATTTATTATTCATCATAAAATATTCTTCTTACATTGTTGGGTGATAGTCGTATCAATATCTGAAGAGATATCAAGAACAGATTCTTCTTTTGGAATTGGTGCTTGAGCCATTGTACGTGGTTTTATTGGGTATCGAACATTGTCAAGTTTTGATGAGGAAGAAGAAGAAGAAGAAGAAGAATCCGATGATTGTATATGTTCTTGATCTAACAAATAATGAAAGATAGACGCATGAGACATGTAGAGAAAAGGAGGTAATTTTAATAATATTACTGTGACTACAGCCTGAGGCACGCACGCACGCATGTAATCAAAAAAATTTCGAATATAAATTCTCGTGTGTATAAGTGGATATATATATACACATACATGCATTTTTTTTTTCAACCGAAGGGAAGATAGAAATCGATTGATACTGATAAATGTATACTCATGATTTTGAAGGTCGTTTAGATAAAGAATAGAAATGAAATAATCCTATTCTCAAATGAAATATATATATATAATAAAAAGTAAGTAAAAACAAAAT